CCTCTGCTCGACACCGCAGATATGTTTAACACATTGTTCAACATTTCAAGTGCGCTGACCCTTCCACCTTGCGGTTCCATCACCTTTTTCGACCTGGGAACCGAGTTAACTGCAAACCCATTGTCAGAGTGTGTCAACAAAGAAACTGCAACACATTAATGATCAGTTATAAGTCCTTAAAACAACATCCAGCACAAAATAACACACACAAACCAACAAAAACAAAGAACTATGAGACACGGACGCCCCGTATATTTTAAAAAAAGTAAAACATGTCTCTTGTTTCAATCTCATCATTTCACCCTCCAATCTTGGGCAGCCGCACTTTGGCCCACCGGACCCACCGGACCCACATCACCCCCGGTCACCCGCTGCGCACGAAGGGAGCTTCGGGACCCCACGAACGCCACGGTCGGCGGCTTCGCCCAGTCACGGAGCTTCCGGCTTCAAGTCACTCACCTCCGGGGCAAACCTCACACAAGGCAGGGGTGTCCACACGGGCGCTGCGCGTGTGGCTTTCAAGCGCAGGCGAGAAAGCGTGTGGAGGTGTTTTGTGTCGAAATTGGGGCGAAATGCGGGTGGATTGATGTGAAATGGCAGCTCCGGGTGTTTTCGTTGGTTGATTCAATTTGGATGGAGCTCTATATTTCAATTCTCACTCAACAAGCTGTCTGAATCGCTGGGTGATTTGGAAGGGAAGATGGTGGATGGTGTCAATGAGCACATTGTCTCCCATGAGGTACTTGAATTCCAGCACCGCGAACACAGTGGATGATCTCCCTTGTGTTAGGACCCGAAGCAATGCGGATTCTTGTTGGTTCGAGTCCATGAGCTGTGGGTCTTGTTGCTTCGAACATGGATTGCTAGCCACACTTCTCACATCTTCTCACCAGCGGCCGCAGGGCTCTCCATCACATGGGACTGAATGTTTTTTGCGAACGGATGGAAAAGTGTGCCCTGGCCCCGTTCTAGCCCTTAGTTCAACATGAAGCTCGCGCGCTAAAGCTCCTTTTTACCTGGTTGGGCACTTGAGCCAAAAGTATATGGCATGTACCTGTATAGCGACTATACTGGGACCCCATCCCTATTGACACCCCCCACATCCGTACTTCGACGGGGAAGGGAGATGAGTGGATGTAAAAACCGGAGAACGAATCACGTTCTCAAAAGTGTATTGGAGGTCAACCAGTATGTCCTATTGAATTGAATTAGCAAAAGATCTTGCATTCGCTTGAAAGTTGGATCAAACAGGTAATGGAGCTACAAACGGACAACGTGCACCTACCTATGGTATCATGCGATTACCAACGGTGTGAAACACAATCCTCTCTCACTCCCATGATGCCAAAACGGTCATCATGAATTACCCAAGATCCCTCAGTACTTGAAGTACCAGAAGTGGCATGTCGGTATGACCCCAATGCTCAACCATTCGTGAGTTGTCGCATGTAGTCAGCGCCGACAAAGCCAATGTAGTCCTTGATGAGCTCAACGTTCCTCGGATTTCCCGCTCGGATCTGCTCCTCGAAGAACTTCAATTTCTGTGCTTGGATAGCGGATACCTCTATGCCATAGTAGCGGCATGCAACGAGGATCTCCTTCGTGACATTCTTCCGCTCCGATTTGATGGCGGGACTAATGTCGATGAATTTGTATGGAGCGGCACTTTCGTCATCTGGTTTCTGGTAGTAACTATATCGGCTCGCTCCGAAGGTCTTCCTGATCAAGCGTCTGATGAAATTTGAGATGAATGCCAGTTTCTCGATGATCTCTTCCTGGGTCTCAGACCTTCGAGCCTTTGGATCACTCATGTTACGCCGAGTGCTACCGACCTGACTCTTTGAGGTACTTGTGGCTAAGCCCGCAGCGGATTGCAGTGATCATCATCGGGTGAACAACGTGGGCGTGGAATTCATAGATCTGCCACGCTTCTGTTGCATACACGTCGTTGGTCCATCTGCTC